AATTGGTGATGTTCTGAAGGTTGACTACATATCGTACTCATATACCTTGTGGTCACTAAGATTAACTTAAGTAAATTTAGTTTTTATCGTTGCTTTCTTCATACTTGAAAATAGACTCTTTTCTTATGGAGTAGGCTATTGCTAAACTATTTGATTTCTAGTTTATTTAGCTCTGTGTCATAGACAAGATCTTTTGGAACAGCACGAGCTCATTGTCACCTAAAAAAGTCTATTTTCTTACGTGAAGGAACTGGTATTTTGTCCATACTCGATTACCCTATCAATAATCAACATAATATTGTTGATAAACTGATACTAATAACTCGTTCATAAATGGAAAAAAGGTTTTAGCCTTCGAATCGTTCGAAAGAGATCAGGTTATAGGAAGAAGGTCTTTTGATTTTATTATGTCTTTTTCAAATTTTTATTCCGAACACCCTGATTTGATCTTTGTATGAGACTTGAAGAATATATATAAATACCTTATGTTCATTTGAACAATGAATTTTCCAAATCCTTGTACTCCCTTGTAAGGATCCAGAGACCAAAAGTGTTTTTGTTTATGAACGAGTTATTTCTATCAGTCTGTTAGAAATATTATATTGATTATTGGCACATGAAAAATTTTAATAGAACCGTCAAGTATTTTTATAAAATTGTCAATATATCTGCTCCTCTATGTAAGAAAATAGGCTTTTCTAGGGGACAATGTTGCAAGTTGACAATGAGTCTGTACTGTTCCAAAAGATCTTATCTGTGACATAGAGTTGAACACACTAGAAATCAAATAGGTAAGCAATAGTCTAGACCTAAGAAAGGGGACTATTTTCAAGTGTGAAGAAAACAGCAATAAAAATTTCTGATTACAGAAAATTGAACAGCGCCTATAACTGTATCGAATTGAGTTTAAAAACAAAATTTGCATAAATTTGTCTTACAGATCACAATGTATATGAATACCATATATATTTTCTCTTGAGAACATGAAAAACTTGGTTTCTTGTATACATTTCGATGTGATGTATATTGTTCAATAAAACCACATGTATAGTATTCTAGTTCAAGATAGGCTATCTACTCCGACAAAGTTCTATATATATATAATATTATTCTCTTTGTTTTTTGAATATGATAGAATTTCGTTGATCAATTACCTCGTGATGATAATAATTCAAATAATGGCTTACCAAGTTTTTCTGCTAATAGTATACGAACTCGACGTGAAATAGATACGTTGTTACGTATTATGCTTGATGCAGCACCTAATGATTCAGCCACTTTACCTGGTATTAAGAGACCAAAGTTTTTAGACAATCATTTAACTCTTTCGAGTAAAAATTTACTTTTTGAATATTATATTTTCATAGTTTTTGCAATATTTTAAGATTCACTCTATTCACCTGAAATATCTGAAGCAGCAGCTTGCTCGAACTTATCAACAATAGGACAAAGAGATACACCGGTTGTTCCACAATATCCTTCGATAATTGTTTCAGCAACGGAAACAAATAGACAAATACCACAATATGAATCGGCTATGAGTACACCTTTGGCATCAAACAATGGACGTTTTCAAAGTAATATTAATAAATAAAATAAATTAGTTTTAAAATTATTAAGATATTAGCAAATATAAATCTAGTAGTTCTATGAAATAATCCTATAGAAATCCTAGAAAACAATGGGAGAAAAAGAGATGAGAGTTCAAGAAAAATACATTTATAGAAATCACTCACATTTACACCTGTAAAAGCCCATGTGTGTTTTATCTCGTGTCTTTCATTACAGGACTTTTAAATCTATAATGGGTAAATTTAATTATCTTTAAAGAAGATATTTCTTCTTTTCAATCAACTCTTTCTTTATAAATTATTCATATCAAGATGATAAGGCATTACAATCATCTCTCATGAAGAAATATTTTCTCATCAGAGAAATAGAAATGTTTTATTATTCATTCTTTCCATTTGTCTCTACGTAAAGTAGCTATTGAGATAAAAAAAGTCAGTCATATCTACTTACTGCCGAGCGGCACACTGTGGGCATTAGGTACAAAATTTTTCAAAATGTATGTTTTAATGACTTTAATAAGGCAACATATACTCTGATATATAGGTTACATAATGAGATAAAAGTCATTATTCCTCTAGTTAGCATTAGGCGAAAAACATTCGCAAAATGCCCCTTCGCTCATGATGCCTACATAGCTTTAACGCAAGCATTTCAGAGCTGACCTAAAGGTTTTCTAGATAAAACTCATTTTTCTCAACATTGGAAACGCTGTTATGGAAGAGTAACTTCATATTTGAGGAGTCCGCGAAAAATTAGATTTGTACCGTTTTACTTTTATACTTTTCAAACTACCATAACTTTCATAGTTTTGACCTTTTAGTCTCTGTAGGGTGTCGGTGTAGGTAGATGTTAATGAACAGAATACACACTTTCACAACTATTCGTGCGAACTATGTACGGAACCTAATATTTTTAGCCTCAGCTTCAATGATTTTACTTTTTCTGTTGTCTGTCCTGATTGGGACAAAACTGCTTCAGAATCTATTGGTCTCGCATCTAAAGTAATTCTTCAATAATCGATTTTTTTTTCGTCTGGGTCCTGGCCGAGTCTCGGTCACTGGCACCAGAACCGAGACTGATCCTACACATCTCTCCCTATGACATCTTTCGATGCCGATACGAAAAGAACATTAGACTTTCTCAATTTCTCTTTCAAAGTTTCTTTGGAATCAGACTTTTGATTATTTTCTTTTAGCTACATCTGCTGATGATTCTTTACCTTCATATACTGATTTATTTGTTGTACCGAGTAATTGCAAAGAAGAATATATACAACGACGAAATACATATATAAAAAAATAATAAATAGAATTTTTTTTTCTTTTTTGTACATATTCAAAATCCAATTTAGATTGTGCTTGTTCTTTTTTTTTTGGTTCTGTATAATGTGCAAAGACAAAGTCTTAATTTATATATATATGTGTGTGTATATGCGAATCTTATTAATTAGTTCCTGTTACTGTTTAATTAGTCAATTTATCTTTGTCAGATCAGATGTGAATACTAAACTCGATCTCAATATGTGTTGATTTGCTTACATTTCAAATAAATAATAAATTCATGTTTTGTCATTTGTTTCTTTTTCGCGCGTTTGAAAGGATAAAAATGAATAGTACAAATCGTTTATTGATACCATCTATAACTTATACATATTCCATGATGATTGGTTTTATATGTATTGGAATATGTTTTATTTGTTCATTATGTATAATTATAAGTCGAATAATTTATGAACATGAAAAACGTGAAAGAAAAATAACAAATCTTCACCGTTTTATGATTAATTTACCTGAAATAGATTTTAATGAATTACAAGAAAATATTTTCAAAGATAAAGATTTACCATTAAATTATGGACAAATGATGACTATGCTTGGTAAAAGTATAAAAGACATGGATGAATTTAAAAAACAATTACAAATTTTACCAATAACAATAGCAGAAAAATTAGGAAATTTTACTAAAACAGATAAAATTGAACATTTACAACGTGCACTTGTTGAAAATCAATTTCATTTTTAAATTTTTCTATGTATTAATTATAATAAATAGTTATAAAAAATGAAATTTGTTTTTATTTTCCAGATAAATAAAAAAAATAGGAAACATCAGATAATGTCAAATATTAAAACTGCCGTTGGTCGTTCTTTAGTAAAAAAACGTTTTCCTAATCAACGTCGTGCTACATCTGGAGATGAATGGGTAGAACAAAAATTCATAATAAATATATTCTATCAATTTTAAATCTAAATAGGTACATCAAAAAGCTGATTTTACTGCCAGTACAGATTGGAATCGACTTAATCTACGATCAGTTACTGATCAAAATTCATTAGATGAATTTTTAACTACAGCTCAATTAGCTGGCACAGATTTTGCAGCAGGTTAATATACAACTTTTTTCTTATTGATGAATGTATATGTTTGATTTTTTTTAGAACGTTTAAATGTAACATTTGTACCAGCTGTAGCTAAAGTTGGAATTTTATCTAATGATGATAAAGAACGTATTCGACAAGTACAAAATCTACATCAAGATCGATTACATATTCCACGAAGGTAAAAGAATGTTTTTTTTTTAAATCTATAGGAATTTTCTTTTATTGATTTGATTTAGACCTGCATGGACATCGGATATGAGTGCAGAACAAATCGATCAACAAGAACGTGCTAGTTTTCTTGAATGGAGACGAAAATTAGCTTTGTAAGTTTTATTAGTTAAAGTTGTTGGTTTTTATTGATTAACTTCTACTAACAAAAGAGAAACTTTAGCTTTTCGTGAAATATCATCCGAAAGAAAAGCTTATTTGTGTAGCATGATAGTAGATCATGTGTAATAGAATCTTCATTCTTCATCGGCAAAACTATTCAACTGATTAATTGCTTTGAGATCGGACTCATAGCTTATTTGTTCGGAGATGCTGTATTTTGAAATTCAACGTCGTGTCGTTCTTCTAGAGCATCAGGAAAAATTGATTTTCGAATTTTGACTTGAAACTTTATATAGCAACATACCTTAATGAGAATAGTTGATTGTAACAGTTTTAGGTCTTTTGGTTTGCTTCTACTTTGAAATAAGAATATCGCATCAGCTGATGCATTAGCAATGAGCGGAAACTTTTGAGACAAAATATTTGTCTATTTTTGGGCTCACTTGAAAGTGTTTCCCAGGAATCCAAAGCTATGGATTAGGACCATCATATTGTGCACTGTTCGAATATGGACTTAGAAATTTTATCTCAGTTGTTGTTCAAGTATAGTGAAGAGATCTTTTTAAGGTCTAAAAAATCAGATTGAATGGGGAACCGAGAGATTTATTCTAACTCCTATAAGTTCCTTGTCAAAGGTGTCAAAAAATATTCGAGTTGGTGGCTTTGTCGAGCAGATATTTTATTTATCAAATTTTACATTGAACTTAGCTGTCGCCTTTATCTCAAATGATACTATAGGTATTTTGCCAAGAGTTCATTTAGATACAAAACGCTTTTTGAATCGACAGGTCGATTTTTTAAAAATGAGAATTCTAGAGAAACAAAAATCAAAGTGGCCTGTAGAAAAACTTCAATAGTACATTATGTAGGGTAGCTTCTGCTTTACAAGCTGATATATTAACAAATGTGTTAACATTTACATTCGAGTCGCAATAATAATGAATATACACAAGTGTACAGCAAAATCTCCCGTTCTAACTTATTGTTTGGATCTTACAAAATATCATCTCACTGGTCTCGAAAGAATTCTGAAACCTACATTAGAAAGAGCACAAAAGTCTGGTCATAGTCTATAGTCCTTGACTTCTTAGAAACACTCAAGCTAGCCTAAAATAAGTCTCAAAACTTTCGATCCATTCATCATGAGTGATGTAAAAGATATACTTTTATCTTAGCCGCATTCTAGGATAAGAACAAGAGAAAAATCACAATACACTGTCTATCTCTGTGCGAAGTTTCAAGTCATAATTTGCAAATCAGTTTTTTCTGAGACAGAGGAGATGACACGATATTGAATTTAATAATACAGTATCTCTGCACCAATAAGCTAAGGATACCAAATCGTTTCAGAATATTCGCAGTTCATTCAAGTCTACATGCTGCACATAGCTCAGACACAATAGCAATTAATCAGTTGGTTTTACTGGAGAGAGAGAGTAATACACAAACTAGAACAAAAGAAAAACATGATAAGAAATAAATTGATCATTTTGATGAATATTGTTGTTTCATTTAATAAGTTTTCTTTAAATATTTTAGGCTACAAGAAATCGATGATTTAACATTGACACCATTTGAAAAAAATCTTGAATTTTGGCGACAATTATGGAGAGTTATAGAAAAAAGGTTAACTTTCATAGATATATATGTATCAATATATTTCAACATTTTATTTTCAATAAAATATTTTTCTTAGTGATGTTATCGTTCAAATAGTTGATGCACGAAATCCATTACTTTTTCGTTGTGAAGATCTTGAAAATTATGTTCGTGAATTATCACCTGAGAATAAAAAGGTCAATGTTATTCTTGTTAATAAAGCTGATTTATTAACAGATGAGCAACGGTAAATGAAATAAAAATAAAACATTTTCTCTTAATTAAATACATTTTTTCATATTTATTTAGACAAGCATGGGCAACTTATTTTGATAAATATGATATGCGTGTAATATTCTATTCAGCATTACAATCAGCTCCATCGACTAAAAAAACGAATACAAAACTTTCATCAGAAACAAATGATACTGAATCTGTAGATGACACAGATAAAATTCTGGAAGATATTAAACGACATCAATCAAGTCATAATGATGATAATTTTGAAATATCAAATTCAACAAATCAATTGAATCGATTTGATGCTCTTCAATTAGAAGATGATAATGGCGATAAACAACAATCAGAAATAAATATCAATAATGAAACAGATAATACTTCTATTGATAATGAAAATGATCAGGATGATGACGATGATGATGATGATGATGAAGAAGACGATGAAGATTTAACTGAAGATGAAAATCTTGTTGAACAAATACGTGAAGATATTTTTGCGTATGAACAATCAAAAGAAACAAAAAAAAACAATTTATCAATTGTTGTTAATCGAGAAGAATTAATATATTTACTTAAATGTTTATATACTGATAAAACAACTACACGAGAAAATATTCTTACCATTGGAATGGTAATCAAATAAAAATGAATTTTTTGTTATAAAAGCAAAAATTTTTATTTAATAGGTTGGATATCCAAATGTTGGTAAAAGTTCAACAATTAACTCTTTATTGCAATACAAAAAAGTATCTGTATCAGCAACACCAGGCAAAACTAAGCATTTTCAAGTAATTTCTCGAAAGCAAAACACGAGAGCGCATAAGAATGTATTTCGATGCATTTTTATGTTCAAAGTTCGATCTATTTCGGTCATATATTGAATAGAAGAGCATGAATTCCAAAACACTTTGATTTGTTCATAGTTATGAGCAGAGTCCTTCTTCACGAGATACTAAACAGACAGTTAAGTATTAATACTAACCGATGGATATTAGACGATATTTAAGCAGAATAATACCGATTTCACTTAAAAAAAAAATATCATATTTGAAATTAGCACAACAAATTGCGTCGATTTATGTATATTTCAAGCTGTTTCTGTTGTTTTGTTTTTGCTCATCGAATTCTCACCTTGGGACCCTTCAAGGAAGTTTGAAAAAGTAAATTTAATCAAAACAACTATTTTATTGTTTAGCTACCGGTCTTTTTGTCTTCAAATAGCGCTTTGGAAGTTTCGAACTTGATTTTCACTGCTACAATGACTTTTTAACTAAATTCATCTTTTTACATATCTCTGAGTGGAATCCATAGGTGAAAGTCTGATTAGAAGAAAGTTCGAAATTTTTTTGAAGTAAAATGGATATTATTCCGCTTAAATTCCGTCAAAAATCGAGCCTCATCAACAATGAATTAAATATTTTGTTAATTAGCCCACATTTTTTATATTGAACAAAAGAGTTCGTTTTATAGCGTTTGCAAAAATGAGCATTTGAGAGTCAAAATTTAAGAAATTAAAGACTTGCATACAGTGTAGTAGATTCAAAATATTATTTTAAATCAATGGTTCTATTATGAAAATATAGCATTGAACAAAGAGCTTTTNATATTGAACTTATAATAAATGCAGTCCTCTAAACTTAAGTCAGGCAATACACGAAAATATTTGTCTCAAAATACAAGTGAAAATACTTTCGTCTTAGCTCTAATTTTTAGAGGTAGTCTTCTAATGTGTCAAGAACTTTCGACGATTCACAATCTTTATATGTATATATAAATTATAAAAATAAGTACCCATTTGCCAGTTAGACTGTAGATTGTACGTCGCAATTGTAGATATCGCATGATTTTTCTTTTCAATCTACAATGTGAGTTATTCGTTCATTCATCTATAACCCAAGTTGTGAATGTATATTTAAAAGAAAAAGAAAAACTGAGATTCATCAAATCAAAAAGAAAAGTATACAATACACCGGTACAAATAGCAAAAAATTAGATTGAGGAAAAAATAAAATAAAATAAATATGCTTCTTAAAATTCTCTCTGCCCATGAAATAGGTGGAATTAAGAACTATTTTTATTCATTTTTTTCTTGTTGATTAGGCGATAAAATTTTAAAGCGTTGACATAAAAAATTTTGTTTATCTTCATAATTATAACCAAATTTTTGGTAAAAACTAACTAAATGATCTTTACATTCTAATGATATTTTATAGCAATCGCATTTTTTACGTGCAAATTGTGTTAACAAATCAATAAGTAATTTTCCAAGTTGTTGTCCACGACATCGATCATGTATAACAACATCTTCAATTCTACCACGTACACCTAATTGACGAATAAATTTTTTTTCACACACAAGTGTTGCTGTACCAACTATTTGTTTATCAATATTTATATCTTGTATTACAAGAGTATAATATGTATTTAAACATTGTTTTAATTCATTAAAACGTTGCTTAAAATCATTATACGTAATTGTTCCACATTCAGTTAATTGACGAAGTAATTCAATATAACTATGATTATAATCGGAGATTGCCAATGGTCGAATTAAATATTTTTCATCGTAAATATTTTTGTTAAGTTTAGGATCTTTTAATGAATATTCTTTAAATATTGATTCTAGTAAGTTTATATTAAATAGATATTCATCTTGATGATCATCATCTGATTTTTTAAAATCATAACCATTTTGTAGAGCCATTTATTTTTCGTTGTAAAATAAATAAAATAGAAATGAATGAACAAGTCGATATATAAACTACCTACAAACAGACACATGAAGGATTGTTATAATAACGATATCAACGAATAATTTCATTGACAATAGATGGCAGTGAAAACTGATTGTTTACCTTTTTTGTTTCGGTTTAACAAATACTTTATTTTTAATTAAAAGAAATCTTTCTTCTGAAATAAAGAAAATATATTCATACAAGTTCAAAGGAGATTTGTTTGTTTTTTTTTTATTTAATATTTAACATTCTTATTTCTTATGTCATGACTCTTTATATTATCTATCTTTCGATTGCCTGCACAACCTTTTCGATGTTTAGTTATGGCAATATCAGTAGCAAATTTTCTTTGACATAGAGAACATTGATATGGACGATCGTTTGATAATTGAATTAAATCATTTGTTGGATTATATTGTCCTTTAATAATATTTTGAAATTGTTGATGTTTTTCTCTCCAATGAGTTCGTGGAAAATGCTTAGTCAATGATTGAAGTTCTTTATGTTTAGTATTTGATTGAGTTGTACTAATACCATAATCAAGACCTTTCCATCGATGTAATTGACTATCATAATGATAACGATGTAAAGAATTCAAATGAAATTTTCTTGATTTTTTACAAGCTCGTTCATGTTCAATGAGACGATCTTGAGTAAAATGACGATTGCATATTAAACACTTTTGAAGATTTAAAATTTGTTCATTATCTCAAAAATAAATATCAAAAAAGTAATATTTACTAGAGAACATAGCCAACTGTTAGGTGCTATTCGACTTCATATTATGCCTACGAATAGATCTTGGAGAGACTAAGACAAACTAAAAACGTTCGGTCTTATGATCTACTTCTAAAGAATTATGGAAATTTTAATAAGAGCAACGCATGCTAAAAAGTCCAACACAAAGAATATTTACCTGAAAATTGATCTATAGATACATTTAATAGCAATTAGACTATTCTGAAAGTTCCAAATAACAATAAACATGTTTTTCTCGGGATATTTGATTTCGAAGTAGACTCGATTATTGTGTCCTCCTATGGTAAACCGCTGGTGTTTTTGGAAATTGAATATATCGAGAACGGCATATTCGTTTTATTGAAGTTTTCAGGATAATCTAATGACTATAAAAAGCATCTATAGGCCAAATTTCACATCGAATCTATTTGTTTTGAATTTTTCGGATATGCGTTACTTTCAGTAAAAATTTCATTAATACATTCATAAGTCCATATCAGTAGGCTACGGATTCGAATCTTTTAAAGTTTATCTCAATCTCACTGAAATCTACTCGTAGCCATAATATGAAGTTGAACTACATATGACAGTTGAGTATATTCCCGCGTTAGAAACATAGAGTCTTTCGAAAGATGAAACAAAGTTATTTTATTCAAAAAAAAAAGACTAAAATAAAAATTATGAATTCAATGTGATAGAGTAAACAGTAAAAGGTTATTTTTTATTATGTACAAAACATGGTTGTTACACTAATCCATTATCAATACGAACACTAGTTAAGTATAAGAATGACTATTTGAACAGATTAAATAAACATTGTACTATTTGTAATAGACGACCGGAAATATGTTTTTTCATCAAGTTTTTACATAAATAATTACTCGATAGTTTAAAATAAATCAGTTTTATATTGATAGATAGCGATAGTCAGTGTAGACATACTTTTAATTTCTAAAAATATCTTTTTCAAAGTTTTTTCTTCAGCGTATTTATCATTAACAACATTTAAACACAACTCAAGTGTTTTTGATAACATTCTGCTTCTTCCTATACTAATTTTTCAAAGTACGAAGGTCGAATACGATTTTTATGACATTCTTCTTTTTCTTTACATTACTATAGAACAATATTATTATATATTCTTATTTTATTAGAATAAACGAATACGCAAGACATAGATAAGAGTAAACACAATGAATTTTAAGATCGACTCAGTGTCCTATTCATCATTTTGTATGACACAGCATCCCTCAAATATTTGTCGATCAAAAGACAAAAAGAAAAAAGAAGAACGATAATTGACACAAACCTGATTGCTGACGTTTATTATTTCTATTTTCATATAATTCACTTAATTGTCGTTTTTTTTTCATGTATGAGAAGGTTACATTAAAATTTCCGATTTTATTCAAAATCAAAACAAATAACTTTTTATCAAAAAAATAAAAAATAAAATAAAAGAAGAATACACAAAAAAGTCACTTGACAACATATTTTTATCATAGATCTCCATCGCGAACAAATTTATTTCCTTGACTTCCTTCACCACTATATTTGTGTGGAATTTTTCCTATAGCTATTCGACTTTTTTTTTTATCTGTATCTGTTGGTAATGGTGTATAAAAACTTTTTCTTTCGTTTTTTTTCTCATCATTTGTTGTTGTTAATGATTGAGATTGTTTTGTTTCAGCTATTGAATAAAGTATATCGCCTAATTGTGTTGCAATATGACGCTCATTTGGACTTATTTCACTTGCATCAAGAAATTTTAATGTTGGTATACGAAATATAAGTAAATGTCTATAACGTTGATATTCTTCCTCGAGACGATTTTGTGCAAATGTACTAAGATTTGTATTATTAGATGATGTTTGATCAGTTGCAATTAATCGATATGGACAAGCTTCATTACCTAATAAAGATAAATGTGTCAGCATTGGATATGCATGACGTAATTGATCAACTAATTTATATATATCTTGGAAATGATTTTTATTTAACATTAATGTATGTAAATTAGATAATTTTGGAAATCGTGTATGAGTATCATCTAAATCATTATCATCGAGAATAAGTTCTTCAAGATATGGAAAATCTTTAATACAAGCAAGTGAACGAAAACGATTTTTATTTAAATCAAGAGTCTAAATAAAACAAAAGAAACGATTAATTTATTTAGGATAAAATTATTTTTTTTTTAAATGTACCTTTGTTTTAAGTGCGAATGCGTCAATAATACTTTGTGGAATATAATCAAAATGTGAACCAATACAAATAAGTGTTTGGGTATTATCATCATATATAAATTGATTGTCTTCATCAGTCGGATTTATTGTTGAATTTGTTGATAAATCATCTAATTGAGGTTCAACTATTTCATTTTCAGCGATTTGTTGTGTTGTATCATTATTAAGGCGTTCGTTTTCATTATCCGTTTCATCACTCATTGTATAGCTGTTAATACTACTTGCCGGTATTGATATAGAACCTGTTGACGCTGTAACTGCTTCGAAATGATGATGAAGTAAGAAGAAACAAGAAAGTGAATGCATGCAAATGATAAGATATAAAATAAAGAAAAAGAAATGTTTTGTTACTTTTTTTCGTCGAGTTTTTATTTTCATTTATATATAAACGACGTAAAAGAGAAATAAACAACTAAAAAGTGTCACCCAAGGACAAAATAAAATATAAGAGTATTGAAGTATAATTATTATCAAAGAGAGAAAAGGTCTCCTAATGTTCTAACTTAACCTACAAACATATTCAGAAGATCATAAGTTATTAATTATATATGTTCAAGTCGTGTTTCCCTTATATTAACTTTAATGTTTTTTTTTTCAAGTAAATCTTAGTTTCAAATCTAAACCATGGTTCTACTTATGAATCTTATAAAGAACTAGAATAATAAAAAAAAGACTTGACAAAACCTTTTTTGGTAACCTCACATAATCATTCACAGGTAAGTGCATAGAGATCTGTTGTCACGAGACACCATGTGATACTTTTGAGATATATGTAACCTTTCAAAAATATTTTAGAATTAAGTTAAGACATTTATGCCTAGGCTTTTGCCTTTAATAGAATCTATTGAATACATCTTTAGTGCATAAGTTACATAGAAAAAATATGAAAATAAAAAGAAATGAAGTTATCAATCAAGCTCTTAATAATTTTACTCAATGAAATGAGTTCGAACAAAATGATTCAGTGTAGGATTTCTCGCATAATCTATTCAGATATAAAGAAGATACATATGGTTAATTCAGTATTTCTTTAGTGACTGCAATTGAATTAGGACTGAGTCAAGTGAAATACTCGAAGTTCCTTTGTGATAAAGTTTAATATTGTCAATATCCATATAGAGATCATATATCTGAATAGTCGATGTCAAAGTGTATGATTGAGCGTACAGAACCATGTTTTTAGTGGCACACATAACTGATAGAAAGTACCAATACTCAAACCTTTTTCTTACGACTTTTCCCATACATTTGCTTAATACTATTATTATAGAGGACTTCGGAAATTATTAGTACATCAACACTGAATGATGCTTTATGAATATTTGAATTGGACATGTTTGCCGACATTACTGTACGGTTACCTCTAAAATCATTTTTTCTGGAGGAAATAGACTTTTTTGAAGGAATTGCGGTCTTCAAAAATTAGTCGCTTAGAAAAATAGTCGAGAGTTTTGTAATGAAAGAAAAAGGATCATTCAGAAGTAAAGCTTTTGATTAAGATAATTAAATTGAACAACAACAAAAAAAGCGCATGTCTATGATCTTTTGGGATTAATATAGGTCAGAGACAACTTAAAATCAGCATATATTCTATTATTAACACATATTACTATGAACTAGATTTTGTTTAATATAAGAACGATTAGATCAATAGATTGTTAATAGGTTAGATGTTAAACTATTACAGCAGGTTGCGTGGAGATTTTTTTGTAAAAATTTAACATCTACTTTCAGTACATTTGAAATAAAACAAACTTTTATTAATCTGTAAAGGTTTTGGTCATCCTATCGTTAAAACAATTCATGTTAAAACTTATTGACAATGTAAACATAATCAAAAGTCTAAATATTAATATATCAAGTTGAAATTAATTATATTAATAATTTCTTTCTCATAATACGCTTTGTGTTACGTAATTCTATGGCTACAATTATTGTTATTTCATTTTCGTTTTTGAGGTAAAGAGAGTTATGAGTTTTGATAAGAAAAAATTCGAAATTTTTTATTGTGAATTTCTTGATTAATATTCGAATCTATTCATTTTCGTATCGGTCAATTTTCATTTAACCAATCTTTTTCTTTCCATTTTGCTGAATATCTTTTGTTTAAGATTACATAGCTTGAAAAACTACAAGATTACTTTATGATCTTCAATTGTGTCTTTTTGCAGTCTTATACCTATTTTTTTGCAATGTGGAGTCATTTAGATGAGTGACCAAAGAGAACAAGCACAATATTAACATGCAACTAGCAGAAAATTCTCCCCATTTCAATCTCTTGTATTTTTACATATTCAGGATATCGAAGACACATAGACAAATACGAGATGCATTCATTATAGTGCTTTCCATCAACAGTCAATATCTTCTAAAATCGTCAGTTCGTCACTCGTGATTATTATTATCTATTGAAGCAATCATTGGTAAAAAGAAAAATGTTTGGAGCACCATAAATCAAGACACTTGATCACCATATCAGTTAGGTACGAAATGAGCACCAAATTAATTACACTTTAAATAAGTACAAATGTGTTGATGAGGTTGTGTAGTTATAATGTGCGAGAGTGAAGTTGTAGAGTATGCTTACTGACGAAAATAAGACTCACATTCACACTCATAGTGTCATCCGAGGATTTTGAGACTTGATATTGTTTTACTATTGCCTAAACTTCATCAAGTACTTGGGATATATTCGAAATGTGATATTAGTCATTCGACATTTTAACACATATGATCAAAACCGCCAAAAAATGGGTGGCTTTAGGGATCCGTTGTCGGTAATTTTTCCGAATGAAATCAATCATTTCTGTTTGATACCGAACTGAAAGAAATCGCTAGTTTTTAAGAAAAGTTTTGAATTTCCACATTTGTTTCACAATTCGACGTGCTTCAGATAATGTTGGCACCTTGAATTCACACGAAGCATCAATACAACATGAAAATGTCTCATAAATTAAATCCAGCCTAGATTTTGTTCTTGATGTTTCATTGATTGCAACTGGCTAATCTATTCTTCTGTAACTAGCTTCTATCTATCCAGAAGTCAAGATATATTTCAGATAAATATCATCGTCACTAGCAAGTTTTCATTGTCTTAGATATGATCGAAGAATTCTATAAATAACGATCTCTAAATATGAATTTCTGCAATGATACCTATTTTTCATTTTTGTGTTTGTTTCTTTACTGGATGAGTACAAATATAGTTTTTATGCTGAATTAGATTATTAAATATTTGTAATCTATGATGAGCGAGAAAATGATATTCTGAGTATCTAAGACAGAATTTTTCTGTTTCCATATGCAACTTACCGATCGTTGTAAGTGCCTAACCGCCAGTCGTTTATACATACCGTGATCTACCGCTAAAACTTATCAAGTATTTACAATAGGAGAAGCTGCTGTTACAGAAGTTTTCAATCGCATATCAATAACACTCAGTGCCATTATATAGAAAAAACTCTATTCCTTTACATGTTAGTATTGCCAAATTTTTATAGAACTAATTAAATTTGATCAACATTGATATATTTGTTCTTCCTTATTTGGTGCACACTTGTCCTATCTGTTTGTATTCATTTTATATAGAACTTATTTTGTAATCAAAGTGACGACTAACATCATATCATTATATCCTATCTCAAAATTGATAAAGTGTTTTTTTTGTTTGGTGTTTATTTTGTAAAATTTTTATAAAAGTGTCGATTCAGTATCACCAATTTCACTGCCATGGCATCTACATTGACGAGATACATATGATCTTTGATTAACTATTAAAAGAAAAAAGTTTAATAAATTCACTTTTCAATATGCGAAAAAATCGATTTACTAGATCTATTTTCACTAATTTGTTTATCTTTCCAATATTTTTCAGCTATTCTTTGTTGTTGTCTTCGAATACGTGCTATATTATAATGATTATTGTCAACTAAAGTATTTGTTCTCTTATTATTATCAGATTCTAACAAAAAATAAACAAATTAAAATTATCATAACAATGTTAATCTAATTTAATTTACTTTTACGCATAAAACAACGTATTGGCCATAATAATAAATTAAATGGTGGAACAAACATTTGTTTTTCTTCATATTCTTTTAGAACAACATAAAAATGATAAAACCATGCTTGACGTGAGTCACCATGAACACGTTGAATTGTAAAACTAAAAGAAAAAACATTAAATATATTCTTCAAAAATGTTTGATGATAATATCATACTTAAATAAAGCAATAAGATTATTTAATAAAAGAACATATGCAATAATTAAAAAAGTTATTGTTAAAATTAAAGTAACAAAACCATATGCATCATTCTTTGCTAAAAAAAGAAATAATTTGAAAATTTGTATTATTATTATTTAAATATAATAATTAAACCTGAATATTGCACAGCAACTAAATCAGTTGTTGTTAAACTAGTACTTCCAAATATTTTCCATGTACCCCATTCAATAATATTTCGTAAAATTTCCAAATTAGTTAAATTTCCTCCATCTTGTATTGTTGTAAAATATGTTGAATTTGACCATATAACCATTGATGATGTTGATATCAATGAATATGTTGTTATTGTATAAGCCAAATAAAAAATAAATATAAAAAGAAGGAATAATATTAAATCCTTCATCTAAAATAAAGAAAAAGAATCGAGAAAAAATATTCTATGTTAACAAGATTAAAATCTTTTTTTACCGTATGAAATATCATTATTAATTTTGGTCCTAATGTTTCTGATGCAAGAAATATATGTAAACATCGCATATACCATAAACATAAATCAAGACTCATAAATATTCTAGTAAAATAAAAATTATTAAGTAGTTATCTTTTTGTTTTCTTTCTCAGACTTTGATAATGCAAATACATAATCTTTAACAATAAAACGTGTAATAAAAGCAATAAACCAAAAAGTAAAAGCAACTAAATCTAATATATTCCATGGATCATTATTATAGAATGACCATATTGTACTACGATGACGCTTTATTCCATCTAATTTTGTCCAATAAGGAGTTTTAACTGAAACTGATCTAACATGTAACATTATCTAAAAAGTTAGTGAAAATTAAAATTTTTATATTTTAAACATAAAAAGAATTACATACTTGTCGAATTTCTTCTACAGCAATTGATAAAAGAAATATATGCAAAATCAATTCAGTTAATGGAATTGGTAATCTAGATATATTTGAACGTCCGTCTTCATAAATATTCAATGGAAAATAATCAAATAAAATTGTATAACTGAATAAAATCAGAAAAGCAGTATAGGAACCCTAAAATCAAATATAAACATAATTGATAGAAATATTTAAAAAATCCCTACAAAAAAAACAGAGAAAGAACTTGATTGTAGTTACTTTTCATTTAGCATTTGTCCCATTAGATAATTTTGTACTTGAAAATTCGCTACTTACTAGAAAATCTTCTCAAATGTCCTCTTTTGATTTCAATGATTTTTTACCATTAAATACTATATAGTGCTCTAAAAAGAATTTCAGTTCCAATTGAGATTTTACTAAGCTATCAAATTTCTTTTGTACAAGTTCGAGGTTTTCGAAAAATTCGTAATTTTGAATTTCGATCTAAAACATTTCCTTTATAGAGAACTTAACTAGAGTAGCTTCTATAAAAAAAATCAGAAGCTTTAAAGAAAACTTCTTTGAGATATCAGACTTTCTAGATATAGATCCTTTCTCATGAATGCAACATGCATTTTTGAAAGCTTTATGTCTTGAAGAGATTTTGTTCAAAACTTCTTAAGTTTCGAGAGGAAGCTAATCTAGTTGAGTTCATCATATATGTCAAGTTTCTGATCGAAATTCGACAATACGAATTTTCAAAAAATATGGGATCTCTAGAAAAAAAAATTCGATAATCTAGTCAAAACACAAATCCTTTTAGAGTTCTCTGTAGTATCTATAGGCAAAAATCATTAAAATCTGAAGAGGATATATGAAGAGGTTCTCCCGTTGGCTAACTTTGAATGGCACAACACAGAGAGACTTTGACTGTATTAAATCGAAAGATTATGCTAGTTTTTCATTTTCAATCGTATGAGACGGCTATGCGGAGTTTAAAAAAGTCCTCTGGCTTACTATAATACCTCTTTATTTCATTAACTGTAATCAAATCATCGACAGATGATTTTGAAACATTCAGAAAAAAATATGTTTGTCACTTGACAAGAACACGATCGAGAAATATCGACTTTGTATAATTCACAAGAGAAGTGTTTTATTCAATATGACGACTGAAGTCATGAGGTCTCTCCGAAAATCGAGTTAATCCTTCGGGATCTTTTGCTTATTGAGAAAAGTTCGATGTGTATGTACTCCGAAAAATAGATATTCGGGTATTTTAGATTATACACTGTACAAGGTTCTTTTTGACTGCAAAATTATAGATTTTTTAATGATAATCAATCACAATCTGATTGGATATATCTAAACTTTTGTGTCTAAGATACGAAAACAAGCAGATTTCTAATGACTTTCATGATCGATACAATCAAGTTCATTCTCATGTAATACAATAATACAAACCATATTGTAACGGAATCGAATAAAAGCATTGCCATAATAAAATCGACGAAAAGGTTCACCGATATTTCTTATTTTACTTCGATACTTATTTTTTTGTCGTTCAATCTTCTCTATCTCATCCCATTGAAGAACTCGATTACGTATAAATGGAATAATTAATAATAATGGACAAATACATACAAGACAAATCTATAATTAAAATAAATATTATTTGATATTTTTTATAATTTATTCTTTCGTGTGTGTTTTTTTTATTACCAGAATTTCCCAAAAAAAATTTTTATTTCGATGAAACTGTTTTCCATACCATATTGTATTAGCATGCGATTGTATACATTTAGTTGATACTAATGATTTTGAACAAAGATCATCGATTAGAACTGATGGTTCTTGATCTTGATATAAAATTGATTTTTCATTTAAGAATTCAATTGTCTCTTCTTGATTATCTGCATAACAACGATCAAGTATTTCAGCAGCATACGTTTGAAATTGTCTATAATATAACATATAAAATTCATCTAACTAACAAGAAAAGATCACGAACTGCTCATTCGCTGTTTACTCAGGGTCTAATGAATTATTGGTAATCGTCTATGTTAATTTCGAATATCAACATGATTTTTGTCGTTAGGTCTTCAAAGATTTGGTTTTCTATAGTGAAAAACATTTTTCGTCAAATATTGTTTTTTTGGTTTGTAGAGCGCTTTGAGTTGTGTATAAAGTTATTTTTTCAAAATTTGAACCACTACAGAGAAGGCTAGAGAAGTAAAAAAAAAAGTTTTAATTCTTATTATCAACTCACACTTTTCTTTCAACATTTACATTCTACATGTTCTCTTACTGACTTTATCTTGGATGTTACTTAATTCATTTTCAAATTTTTCATTTAACTTTTAATCTTTTTAATCCGTATTATTATAATCTGTTCTTTCGTTCTTCTGATAAAATCATTTTATGATTATTGCCAGAAAAGGAATTATTTTGCACGTGTTTTTGTGATGATCATTTTTTTACTATTTCGCTTCGTATAAAATTTTAATGACCATAAAAACCTAAATATAGACTCACTTCACATCTGCGCGCCTTTTAGCCTAAAGAAAACATTGCGTAAGATAAAGTCCTTGTAAAGTTTTTTTCTGTTATCGGATCTCAATAGATCAGAATTTGGAGTTCTTCGACGAGCTGCAGAGTGTATTGTAGATGACTAAACATAATAACAGAACACAGCGCATGGTGCAATACAGATGTGTATCCAACTATTTAGTAATATGGCAAACCTATGTGGGTTCAAACACTACAAACTTTTTATTCTTCTAGCCTTCCCCTGCAATGGTTCAACTTTTCAAAAATAAGATAGTTTTTTTAACACAATTTGAGACGCTCTACAAACTAGCCATATCAACAAAAATTTTGGCGAAAAATGTTTTTCACTATAGAAAACTGGATTTGAAGACCTAGCGGCAATAAGCGTATTGGTATTCAGGATCAGCATGTTCGATTATGTACAATTCATTGGGTTTCAGCTAAAAATTGACTAAGCTTTTGGTGACCTTCTTTCGTAAGTACTTATACATGTAAATTAACTTACCGGCGATATTTTCGATAATTATTTATTGTTGTATATTCATGTTGTTCCTTATCTTGGCACCATTGACTAACAAGTAACATTGCAGTAATTGAATCCTTATATAGAAAAAAATAAAGAATTTTGTTTATTTTGAAAATTATACTTATACTTCTAATCGAACACAAATACTCAAAACAAGATCGAAATATTCATTTTCAATAGCCCAATAGAATAAAAGACGAATATATGCTGGAATAATATCAATAAATAATTCAATGAAGAATACTTTTATAAACCTACTTCTTATTCGTTTATCCCGATCAAGATGTGTTACAACAGGAATATGTTCAACGAGAAGTTCAGCCATATCACTTTCTATATGGGAGAAAAACGGAAAGAAAATTTGCTGCGTCTTTTGTTTTGAACATTTATTGAATATTTTATTCTTACTTTTTTTGTCAGACTAAATATTAAAAAAGAAATACATATTAAATATTTTCTTGTTTATCTAATATAATTACTTTTATTTGAAAAAGATCGAAATTACTAATAAGAGCTAAACGTTGTAATGATGCACCATATTGAAATAATAAGTCAACGAATGATACAGCATTTGAAAGTATTGCAACTTCAAGACATGAGTCTAATTCGTCATTCTATTATATACATTTTTTTTTTTGTTAATAGAAAAAACAAGGACAATTATCTTACTGTCCAGTGGATAATTGTATTATAATTGAGTATATTTATTTGTGCATAATCAATTTTGTTTAATCGTATAGCAAAGTTTAATTCCATGATATGAGCATAAGAACTATCAATAATTCGTATTGCTTTAAAAAAAAAACAAAGTCAAATGAAGATTTAACAGTGAATAATTTACTAACCAGAACTAATTGCTCGAAGAATACTTTCATCAAGTTCATCTTTACCTGGTTGACAAACAAAGATAAGACTTTTTTGATTATCATTTATATGAGCAAGTTTGCGAAAATCTATTTCTGATGATAATTGTTCGCTAGATAATCCTGAATGAATAGTTTTAAATTCATTGTCAATTGGTTTACATGCAGCAGCTAATTTATTAGCAATGAATCCTGTACCCTTTTTCATATGAATATGAATTTAATATTAAAAAAAAAAACACTAAATTTTCGATCATAAGTTGTTTACTTTTAAAATGATAATTGGAATGTGTTTAGTAATATTTTCTATGATCTCTGTTACAGACGAAGTATCACCTGAATAAGTAGATAAAAAGTTTAATAAAATTCAATCAATGTTTGTTTATTTTACCTTGCACAAGCAAAGCAACAATAGGGATTCGAGAAAATGCTTCTAGTCGTTGCAGTTGATAAATAATTTTGTCTATGAATTGATCTGCTGGAGTATGATACATCAAAAGTTGTGATTTTCCAAATGGCTAAGAAGATCAAATAAGATACAAAATTCTGTCATTCTTTTTTTTTTTTCTAAATGAATTTTACCTCACATATAATAATATTCGAACTGTGTTCATTATTTTTAGCTAGTTTTATGTCATAGTCTTCCAAACCAATCATTGCTCGAGTACCATTTAAAAGCCAAATATCTATTATATCAATGAGATGATAATGAAAATTTGAAATAGTTCATTTTTTCTTATCATAATACATATAAAATGACTCACTAGTCTGTTCCATTATAGTACGCATAGCTTGTTGGAATGCATTTTCAATTGATGCTCTCGATGAATTTCTAGTTTGTTCATTATGTGTGCGAATTATTTTAATAATCAAATATGGTAATGGTTCTCTAAGTAAATAATTACCAAATGCTTGTTCATCATCATTATAAGTTATATTAAATCTCCGAGCATCAGTTGGAAATTTATTTAAAGAATTAGCAACTAAAGTGAACGCAGATCCTCTTGTCTAATAAAATAAAATATGAGATCTATGTTTTTTTTCCTGCATATCAATGATCAACGATTGATTTTTCTTACTTGTCCAATTTCATCTCGCGTAGAAATATATTCCGACATGTTGCCTGTTAATCTTTCATCAAAGACACACAAACCTTCGCACCAATTCTGCAATTTATGAGGTGAGTAAAAGAAAAAGTAAAGCTTTAATATAGTAATGATAACACAGTAAAAGTAGAAAAAAAAAATATAAGTGATAACCGCTTTTAGTATAAGGTGAGTATGTTGTTGATGAATAAATCAAACATGAATCACCAATTGATAAAATCAATCTTAGTTTATGCAATATTCTTATGGATATTTGATTGTCAAGTAAATTATGATAACTATCGATTTTCTTTTGTATTTTATTATATTTATTACGAATAAACTCTAGGACATATGCAAATATATCACTTATGATACTTTACTACACAAAATGTAACCTTGTAGGTCGATTTGAATTCCGCTATTAGCAAAAAAGAAAGTATTCTTCTCTAACATACCTATACAAATAAATTACTGATTTAATAACAAAAAAAAATTATTTCTATAAATTGTCTAAAAGCGACGAATACATGTATCCATACTCTTTCTGTTACGATTCACTATTATAAGAAAAATAAAGCATTACAACTTTGATTTGTGTTACGTCTAATACTGTGTTTCGTACTTGTTGAAACGAGACAACAGTTTATATTGATATAAGGTTATCGTTTAATAAAAATAAGTTGCCCTATTTTGAATATCGATGTATTCACTGATTCTTCTTTAGAGTTAATTTCGACAACAAATATAAGTTTTTCTTCCTTTCTATGTTTTGATGTCACGATAACTACCGTTATTTTGTTTTGATGTCTTCAACATCATGCTGAATGAAGCATCGAGTTATATTGATATAATGATATCATTTTCGTTTTTACATCTGGATTTCTTTTGTAAATGTTGAAGAGCGCCCTTTTTGCATTTGAAAGACTGTCACTCTATTGTATAAAATTTGGTGGATATTTTTATTTTGATGTATAGAGTTTTGACCGATGACATACCAATAACAAAAGATCAACATGTTTTGGTATTATAATACAATTTAAAAACGTTCTTATGATCATAATGTCATGATTCCTAATAAATAAATCAACTAAAGTATTGTTCGGAGTTCCTGATTATCAATATGTCTTTATATTTTGCATTCAAAACAAAAATAAGAGACAATCCTAAATTATCAAGTTTCAAGTAGATTTTTTGTTTTCATATGTAAAGTGTGCCAAAAGTCAGCAGTAAAATAAAACTGCAATAATTTTTCAACAATTCACATGAACTTTTCATCATTTGGTAGGATATTCTCGAAAGTTTTATTTCATATGATTTCATCCATAACAACTGTTTTAAATGATCGACATCAATACTAAAGCATGAAAACATATGTTTTGAAATATATGGTTTCATACATTAAAGTAGATGTCGATCATTTGAAACAATAGTCATTAGTGACATTATAGGAAATAAAATTTCCGAAAATATTTTATGAAATGATGAAAAACTCATCTTTAAGAAATTTGAAGAGATTTCTATCATATTATTAATTTCTTTTGTAAACTAAGGTTTCTTCCAACAATCAATTGTGTTAGATCGTAAATGTTCATCTAAAATCTCTATTATATTTCAAGGAGTCTTATAGAGATGCAAGACCTTATAAATTTAAATCGGAATTAAATAGATTCTGATAAACTTAAATCATCAAATAGTCATTGACACATTCGGTTGAAATATCTGATTCAATCAGAGACGATCTTAATTGACCGAAACATCTCGAATATATCATATATTGAAAGATTAATTCTCAATCGATTAGTTTCAATATTCTTTGTTGATGTGATCAAATATTAAAAGGATCTATTTAATCAAAAGTCATCAATCTTTCCTTATTATAAGAACATTATTAAATGAAATTACCATAACAGTATACAACTATTTTAAGGTCTCATCTCTTCTATGAACGAAAAACTTAAGAAATCTCAGGATTCGTAGTGCTCTATTGATAAAAAAAAACAAATGGATAACTATATAAACTTACACTAATCTATCATATTGAAACAGTTTGTTTCAACAAAACTTTAATTACATTTCAAATCGATTCATTTTTCCGCTAATTTCATATATTAACTCAAGGTAATGTAAATACTGTTTATATCTTACTAATTGGAATATACATCATATTTTGAGAAAAAATTATATATGACTAATTGTTTACTTTTAAATTGTCAAGTACAATAACACAATACCTTGAATGTATACGAGATGAATAAAAAGCACTCATTCACAGCCCATATGATTCATACTTATGTTCTCTTGTTCATATACATTTAGTCATTAGAAAAAAAGAATACAATTTTTATCTATACACACCGATGTATATGAACAACATTACGCAAGAATGAGTCGTGTTGAGTGTTTTTATCTCGGAAACCTGAACGACAACCACAGAGAAGTAATCGAGAGTAAAGTTCAGCAACGAAAAGTTAAACACTTTAAAAAAGTTAATATAAATAAGAAATATATAAAAAGATCAATGAATGTATCAGCGATCGAAACAAATAAGAAAATTTTCATTTGGATTACCATCGATTCGGCAAGGATTCTTCTCAAATGCTCCCGTTGCGATCTTAATTATTTTTCTTCTATAGGTATTACATAGTATTCTATTCAAACTTCGAAAAGGATTTCAGTGCCTATTAAAACTCGGCGAAGCTATTGAATTTGCAATATGTCTATTTGTCAAAGTTCACAGATTTTGGAAACAATTCTGTTTATGAATTTTCTCTTGAGACTATCTTCATTTGAAAGTCTTATATACAACAGCGTGTATGTAGTTTCAGAGTTTGTAGCTTTCATATCTCTGACGTACGAATATTTCAAGATATTCCTCTATAATTCAATGCAGTTCGAAAAGTATCCATTTCTGAAAATCTTATAGTTGAAAAATATGAAAGTCTACAAACTCTGAAATTCCTCATACAAACTATTTTATATGACGTCTTGGAGAAGAGATAGTTTCAAGACAAAACTCAACAACACTTTTTTTCGCGAATCTGATACCTTTGATAAATCGACATATTCAAAATTCAATAGGTTTGCCAAGTCTCAATTGCTTTTAGGGTTTTCATTACAATATTAAATTAGTATTTATTGGCATTAAAGTCACATGGCAGCATTTGGCAAGCTCCCACCTGAATTGAATCGGAGCGTCTCGAATTATTCGCTTATTCAAGCTCGATTTCGATCTTTGAAAAATATTTGCTAATGAGATCAACTATTGATATATGAATAAGAAAGCATAACAAACTTGATGTCCTTTTAGTCAATAATCATCATGAGCGAAAACAATAATTACTCACTATTACAAATGCATAGCAGAGAACTTTTTGTGTCTAGCATTTTAAATTCTTCAGCCAGTAGATACCAAGATTTTATTTTTGATTTTTCGATAAGTTCTTACATATTTTGAGATAAATCTCACATAATTCCTCAGCACGTACATGCATACCTACAGCATGTATCGTTGAATTATTAACACGATTAATAAATCGTCAATAAATCCTGTCGAAAAAAAAAAAACTAAATCCAAAAAAAAACAAAACCCGGCAACCCTTCTTTTCAACACAACAATAATATCAATACACAGAACAATCAAATAAGACTGATGTCTAGTATTAGAAAAGTTAGCCATAGAACCATCCCTATTTACTTTAGCTTTTATACGTGCTTTATGTTTCGTTGCTGACTATTCTCATACTCAATTTTTCTTATATTTAATTTTTTGTGATCATCGTCTTGGTCCCCAAGGAAAAAACACCCAACCAAAGTAGGTATGATTCATTCTTGCATAACTTTGTTCACATACACATCGTCCTTCACGGGAGAGAAATTGTACTTTTTTGTTATTGCGGATAGATGGCTAAATATGTATGAACAAGAGAACGGCAATATGAATCATACTGGCTATGAATGAGTGCTTTCTATTCATCCTTTGTATACTTTCAAGGCTTTATAGTATTTTATCTGACAGTTAGATGTACACAATAAGATATCTGATTTTTTTTTCTCAAAATGTCATATTTGCGCAAAATAATTCGTTAGGGGCGTAACTTTGAAAAATTAAATCATGTGTATTGCAGAATTAATGAATTTTTCTAGAGCTAAGTTTTATACGTTGCATGGAAGTTGAGTTAATATCAGTGTCATGAAAAAACAATCAGGGCTAAAGACTTTTGTTTAGATGAGTTATCAATAAAAAGACTAGCTTTAGCAACTTCACACAAAAAAAATGTAGACTTTCACTTCATGCATTTTATTCAAAAAAAAACAACAACTCTGACGTGAAGCAAAACTAAAAATTACATTCTGTAGACAACTCCTAAAGCTACAAAATCTTTATGCCAAGTATTTTTTTCTGATTATGCCTATATTTTTCAAAAACAATCGATTTACTTTTCGTCAGTGATATGGCAGAGTACGAGTATACAAATGAAAAGATGTTCTTACAATCGATTGAAAAACTCAAAACCAATTCCAAACGGTGAAAATTCTCCTTTAGAATTTCTAAATAATGGGAAAATGAAAACTTCTATTTCGGAACTTGATAGGACCTCTAGAAAGCCAAGGTTTTATGAGAAGGTTTTTTGTAAGATATTGAAATGAAAATAGAAGATGATAAATCAATCATAAATTTGTTTAAATTTTGTTGAACAATATTTTACATTAGCTAAGCTTTTGTTGTCAAATATTTTTTCTTTCAAGAGAACACAATGAATTTGAACATTTCTAAAGTTTTTGGTTCACAAAAGAGACTAGATCTTCAAGTAATTGTATATAACGACGCCGCGTGAGATAGGATGGAACGAAAACTTTTCCGACCCATCTCAACCATCCCATGAGACTTCACGATCGTCAAATATCTTGTAAAAAATTTTCGAACACATATATCGCTTCCGTTAATAATATCAAATTTTACATCATTTCATTTTTTATTTTATAATTTTATTATAATGATGATCATGCTTTCAATCATCACCTACTGACGAAGATCTTTGTTTCCTACAATGAGATAATTTTTGAGCACAACTGTCTTGATTGAGTACTCGTGTACTAGAACTCACTGTAAATGTATACGACTGAAAATATGATTGGCAACTAGGAAAATCTGGAATCGGTTCAAATTCTTGTTTTATACTGAGATTTCTTGACTGGAAAATCTAAAACCTGCCAACACATTCCAGATAATTTATTCGTTGTGGTTTTTACTGACTTTATAATTCGATGGATCTTTGTTTTTGATAAACGAATAATTCGTTCAATCGTAAATTCATGAACAGCTGATAGAAAATTAACACTAGAAGAAGACGCAGTAGTGGTCAAGCTTATTGAGTCAAATTGATCAGATTGACATTGAGCAACAGACAACGAATCATCCGAAGACATACTATTGATTGTAAATAAAAGCAGAATCAAAGTACTTTTTACTATTGCAATATATCGAACTGCTTTATTACTTTATAAATTAATTAATTGTGATTTGTTTTATCGCATCATAATGGCTACATAGAAAAAAAATTTATATCACACCTGCTTTGCTCGAATAGACGAAAGACACCTTTTTTTCTGAAAACGATGGGGTTGTTCTAAATAAACAAATTCTGTAAAAGAGGTTTCATCCATGGAATAATTGTTGCATCCCATGAGACTGATGGAATTGTCCCATCCCATACGAAGCCTTATTGTATATTGTTAAGTCGCTCTCATTTTATAAGGTTTCTTGAGTAACGAAAAGTTAATGATTTTTTATTAGATGGTTTCTTCAAAACTGCGGACTCTTGAATACAGTGCGTGAAAAGTGGCGATTATGTTGCATGTGTTTTTTTTTCTATAGATGGTATTCTTACTACATATACGATTATTGTTATATATTTTGACAAGAGTTTACCAAAGTCATGAAAAGAAAAATTAAAGCGCTATATTCAATACAATAAAAATACAACAATATAAATTATCATTGTTCATTGTCTTCTCTTTCTAGTTGTTCTTCATTAGAATTATTTATTTGTTGTTGTTCATCATCATCTAAAATAACACTTGTCGGAGAATTTATTTCTATCACTAAAAAAATAAAAATAAAATAATTATTAATTAATATTTCAAATAAAATTCACTTGTAGTTGTCTGTTGTTTTTTAGACTTTGTATCATGATGATTACTTTTTCGTTTTGTAGATGATGATGCTTGTATTTGTAATTCATTAATATCATTATCGTCATCATTACCATCATCATCGTCATCATCATCATCATCTTCAGACAAAACAATTAGACTAGGAGGACTTCTTTCAATATTTGGTTCAACATATTCAACTATTTCACATTCAGGTGATGATGATCGTTCTTCAGATTCTATTGTTGTTGGTTGTGGTGAAGAAATAATATCAATCTAAAATATTTTTAATAAAAATAATAAAATTCTATTTTTTTTTCTTCCTTAAATAAAACTCACAGTATCGATTGCTAATATATCAGGAGTTTCATCAAGTATAATTGGTGAATGTTCACCTCCATCATTATCATCATCTAATGAAATTTCCATTGGTGGTACGACTAATGATGATGAATTCAATGTTGGATATTGTGCATGACGATCAAAACCAGTTAAATCATATGGACAACGAGCATATGTATAAAATTCATGTATAAAATGTTTTGTATAACGTCCAAGATATTCATTTAATTTTCTTGTTAAATAATTTGAACGTATATGATGTAATTGTATAGTTGTTAAAATTTCTTGTATTATCTGTTCAATTGCTCGTTCATCATTCGATAATAAAGCTAATAGTTCCCGTGCTAAAAATGGTACAAGACGATGAAGACAAGCTGGATTTGATGCATACCACGTTGGTGAACATTCTCGTCTAGTTAATGTATCATGATTATGTCCAAGTAATGGAGTATGAACGTTTAAATGATTTATATAAATATATTTACGAAATGCAACTGTTTGACGTATTGATTGTGAATAGATTGTTGATTGTCGTAATTCTGACGTTGTTTGACGTAAGTAACGACGAAGTAGACGACGTACTGAATCAAGAGGTATTAAATTTGACCAAGAGGTTGACGGATTTACAGAACGAACTGATGATGAATGAGAAGAATTTCTTGAATTGTTACTAAAACAAAAAACAAAAGAAAAAGAATTATATTAATATATGTATATTTTATTTAAACATTTTACTTTGGTCGACGAACAATAGATTGTAAAGTATTTAACCATTCAACATAAACCATTTGTCGAAATATATCATTACGTCTATGATCATTTGGATTATGTAATCTTTGAGGATGATAATCAAACCAATTCAGAACGTCATTAAGATTAGTAAATGTTGGTGGTGGTAATGTTGATCGTCGTGATGTTTGTACACGAACTTCTTCAATTATTTCACCAGAATAACGTTCACGTGTTATTATATTAAATGGTTGTTTACATAATGGACATATAGCACGAACTTTTGACCATTCAAGTATACAAGAAAAACAAAATGTATGTGAACAAGAATCAATTCGAGCAATAACATCTGTTTGTTTATTATTTAAACAAACAGCACATTTATCTGGTGTTGGAGGACGAACAGAGACAAGTGCAAGTAAAGATTCTTGATCTAAATTTGTTGAAACTGTTGATAATTGATCAGTCATATTTGCTTGCTCATCGACATTCATGATGAAAAAAAAATATCTAAATGAGGACAAAAAAATATGACGTAAAGTGAGGAAAATATCGACCTCATTTATGTTTCGAGAAAAAAACATACCAATCGAACTAATGACTCAATAAACCAACAAATCAAAATAAAAATATCGCATAGAGTGGAATATACCGATAGCGCTACTGTCATTAAATTTCTACATGTAACACAGCGCTTTGACTATGAATTACATCATATTGATTGTACCAGACAGTCAACCATTTATGTTAGATGTCGCTAGGGTATGGTGGAAAAAGGCAGAAAGGAAAAATATCGAAAGGGAAAAATGTCGAAAATAAACATATCGAAAGCAAAAATATTACAAATGTAGATGAATAGAAATGCTGAAAACGAGAGTATGTTGAAGTAGAAATCTTTCTTACCCTCGCCTCCAATCTTACATGTTCATTTTCACCTCATATTCTTGTTTTCGACATTTTTATTTTCGATATTTTTCCCTTTCGACATTTTTCCTTTCTGCCTTTTTCCATCCATTCGTCGCTAGTTGTTGAACAAAATATTTTTCATCGTTTACCAAGGTCTAATATTTAAGAAATCGATAATGTTTTCTATAGATCGATTTATTTCATTCATGGGTGTACTAAGGTCATCAAGATTGGTGACCAGGGTAGGAGGACGGGCTACTACTGAGTAGATAGAGTTTACGACATAAGGAGAAGGATTGACCGTTGTTATGGGGATTGGTAAGCTAAAAACTCGAAGAAAATCGTTTGGTTTTGCTGGAGAAGAACAAAAAACTCTTCATAATTGGAAGCGGACATTACTCCCTCCTCCGTTCAAGACACTTCTGATTTCACTGTTTATATTAGTTGTGTGTTAAATAATTTGTTACTCTCATTCATTTGTTTTATGATAAACAGAAGTTCTTTTTGATAAAAAACAAAATCATACAACTTGATTACATTATATATCATAGTTTTGTTCAGTTTGTCATAGTTATACAAAACTTCGAACATTTTTTGTTTTAGGATCGTCTGATAGAGTATAAATTACTCTATAGAGTCGTATAGTTTTCATTTTGTCTGATATTTGATAAAATTCGAAAGGTAGCCATGAAAGTTCTTTTTGTTCCGACTATTTCTCATGTGATTCTTTTTCGATGACTAATACTAACTGGAGTAGTGAAACTTCTTATTTCTATATACAATTATAGACAGTTTTAACTTTTTTTCATGTAATGGATGTGACGAAAGAAATTTCTGGTTTTCGTTTGTTTGTTCTCTCGAATTAGACTGAATCGTAAAATTTCGTTCTAATGTTACAAGGTAGAGAATTTTGCGCAGATCTTATTGGTATGCTTTTTTCAAAATAACGAATTATTCTTTTCTTCTAGCATTAAGCATACTGGATATCACAAAACATTATTTACTCAGCTTTTTTATAAATAAATATTGCTTTCCTCTGTTAAATAATTTTACACAAACTATTCAAATGCAGTGTGAAAAATAACAGAAACGTATCTATTTTCGAGACATAATATTAAGTTTTCGAATGAAACTTTGTGATTTAAAACACTGCTTGCAAAAAATATCGAATTAATAATTTTGGGCGTCTTTTTTGTGCCCAGAAAGAGATATCAACCTCATTACTAGGTTACAAAAGTACTTCAGCCCTAAAAGTGAAGGGCACTTTATAGAGCTTGAGTTTTTGCATCTGGTGATACAATAAAGAACAGTTTGTGTTAATCCAAAACTCGAGAAAATTATCGGCGACAAGTACAATTCTGTTGGCAAATACTGTTTTGTGTTTTTTAGAGAAAAACAACAAGCCATTAGACACATTCAAAAAGTCTACATATTGTAGCAATAAAAGCAAGTTTTTGAACTACAATTAACTGTGCCAAAATTGGTGTTCACAATTGTCTAATTTTACAGTTGAGAAAAAGATATTTATATAGTGTTCAGTACTTTTGGACTCAAAGAAATTTTGGCTGTATCAATAAGTAAATTTTTTTTTTCTATAATATACACTTGAATAGAGCATTGATTTTTTTTCTCTCGGCTGCTTCTATGATTGTCATTAGATTTGCGTTAGGTTCTTTTTGCAAAACCTAATATAAATTCGATTATTTTTTTATAAGTCTAAAAAATGGAACGAACTCTGACAGTAAAATTCAATTTTCTGCTAAATTTTGAATCATTTTTATTCTATATTTTCTGCACATTTAATTAACTTTGATAGATCTCTTTCATCGAAAGTAATTTTTATCATTAATGATATTGTTATAATTAAAGTACAAACATGCAGGAAATTCATTTCAGTGCTTCTTGGAATTTATTCAATAAAATGAAAATTATGTGGTTTGACAGGACAATTGATACTCTATACAATTGTATTAAAAAGAAGAAATATTTCGAAATTTCAAATAAGTACAGGAAACTAAATCAAATTATGAAAAATAACATAATTAATTAAACTATTCTCTTTTTTTTATATTTCAGAAAGAAAAACTATATTAAGTTTGTATAAACTATTTATTTGCCATTTCGATGATCTAGCCATGAACCTGATGAACCAGAGCCTGATTGACTAGTATATACACATTTTCCTGTATTTTTATGGCATACGAAACCATTACAACATTTAGAAGACAGACCCGAACATGATTCATGAAGTTTACTACATCCCCATATTCTAAATATATAAATGAATAATATATATTTATTGAAAACAAATTTCAAATATTTTAAATTAAAATATCATGTACCTTTTTCCAAAATTGTTCAAATGTCGTGCTCGAACATAAGCACAATTTGTAACAATTATGACAACAAATAGGCAAATAAAAAAACGAATGTTGACCACCATTTTTGCTTTTGAAATATGTATGAAAGAAAAAAATTATCAAACCTTTTATATAACAACATATACTAGGAGATTGCGATACCAAAGACAAATACACCTTGAAGTAAATATATTCCTTGTAAGCAAGAAAAATATAATGTATAAATTGTATGAATATGTGTACTTTGCCAAATGAAAAAAGAAAAAAAGCTTGCAAGTACTATTATGAATCGTACTGCCGTCAGCAGTATAAATAGGTGGATGAAAAATAGTATTAGATTTTAATTGAAGCAGAATGACGATAAAACGATTCGACTTTAAATAATGAATGAATTTACGCATTTTTTATCAATTGATCATTTGGTTTAAGTTTATCATTTTCATTCTATATATAGAAAAAGCAAAAGAAAACTTTTTCACTATTAAATTGTTCATTCAAGCATGAATGAAATTTCTATGACTTTTTTCAGATACATACTTAGAAAGGAAATGTAAAGCTTGATCAAATATTATTTCTAACATAAGCATTGCATGATATCTGAAATTTTAACCACGATGATAACAGAAAAGAAATGCATTGTATTATTGATAGATTTCATAAATATTTAATCAGGCTTACAACAGTAGATTGCTTTTATTTGCAATATTGTGAGACCAAAGCAAGAACTGTAATTCTAATTCAGAATGGATTTATACTGAATTGCTCCAAATAACTCTGATAGATACAAAACAGCCTGAAAAACGTTTGAAAGTTTCAATTAGAAAACGAAAAAAAATTTGTAAAGTTTATTAATCAGCTTGATTTCTCATTATTGGTCTAACATGCTTGCCTTCAGTCAACAGTGTAAAAAGAACTCTATACAATTCAGTTAATATGAGCAGTTAGATAGAATCATATTGAATGGGTTATTATTGACATAAAATGATCGAATCATTAATTATTATTTTATGCCTTTATGACAATAAAAGCTACGCTATATAATTCATACAATGAGATTTTTAAAAACTACGTCCTTAGATTCTAAATACACAGGTTTTATACATACAATTAAGTCATTAATATCCTTATTTTACTTCAAAGTTCTTAACTTTTTTTTCATTGGACTCTTATGAAAATGTCACAAAAAGTCGTATATATAATTACTTTCTTATTTTCTTCGTTTTATTGCAATACAAAATTATAGATTGGTTTTCTTTCTTCCTATAAACGTGGTCGATCAATATACAGATCTCTGTAGTGAGAATCAATATAAACAATTTATCACAAAGTACATAAAATTAATCATGATGGTCGCTATACATCTTTTTTTTTTCTAGGCAGTACGCAGGTAAATTTTGTATACATGATGAACTTTACCTTTGCGAATTGATATTATTTATAATTTGAATGTTTATAAGTTTATGGTATTTGTGATTATAAATTTCTTTTTCTTAGATGATATTTTTCGATTTCTTTTATGAGAGAAGATTGAAGGGTCGAGTCATTAAAAACCGATGATCGAAAAACAATTTCTTTCCAGTTTATTCCACATTTATAATAGGAAAACAAAATCTTGTGGTTTGCTTAATAATTTATTTGTTTTCTTTGGATTCAAAATATATATTAATAGTTGTCTTTTTTTTAACTTCAGATATATCTGAAATGGCTTCAAGTGATAGAATACCATCTAGATCAGAAGATTCAGAAAACACCATTTTTACAGATATCGCACCAATGTCCGAAGAGTTTATTGATTTTCCAATAACTACAATAGAAAACCAAGATACATCAATTTGTCAGCAACTTTTTGATAAATTTGAATATTTTAAAAAAGAAACAGCAATGTTATCAGATTCTGAAACTATGAAAAAACGATTAAATCAATCGATATCTCTTTGGAATGAATTATTGAACATGGCAAACAATGTTAACAAGCAAAATAAATTTTGTTTTGATGCAAATCGTGCTCTAGTTACAAAAGTGTTTTCTGATATCAATGAAACTGATTTATTTAATAATGATAATGATTTTTCACGACAAATATTCTTTGGCTATTTAGATCTTCTTAACACAAGTGAAATTCAACAGTTTTTGACAACATTAGCACCGTCTACATTAGCAGATGCTATACGTGAATCGAATATTTATATATTACTTTTTATCTTATCAACTTTATGTCGTTCAATAATCTTTTTGGACAGTGATATTGCCGATCAGTATAATCCTTTGTTGAACGCTATGCGAGTTCATGTTGATCAAAAGCTTCAAACCACAGTGTTACAACAACATGCGAATGAAAGGCTTATTAGTGTACATCAACGTATTTTATTGTTACTATGGGACTTAAGTGACCGTACGGTAGTCGTTCCATCACTATTACGTACTGGCTTTGGTAAAAGTGTTATTGAATGGTTAAACTATCCAACATTAACTGATACAGCACGTCGACCTATAGTAAGTATTGTACATAATTTATCGAGACATGATAATGGTGTTGATGAACTTAATAAATATGGAGCTATTGAAACTATTAATCAAATGCAACAACTTGATAGTGTACGTCAGTCAACAATGTTATTAATTAATACAATGGCATTAGCTCTTCTTTCTACTCCAAATCAAATAAAAGCTGATCCAACAGGAACAAAACCTATACTAGATCAACTTCTTCAAATAACTATTAATGCATCAATCGCAGAAAAATATCGATATAATGGTTTTCATGTATCTGAACCACTTGCTGTACTTGTTAAATTATTTGTTGATGATACAACATTTGATTATGTTATGAATCAAGCAGAAACTCATCCTCCATCAAATCCTATTTCAACAATTAAATTATTTTCCGATTTGCTCATTTCTTTTCATGTCAAACTTAAAGAAAAAAATCGTCTTGAACAATTTACTTTCATAGCACTCTTCAATATTCTATGGAGTATTTCATTTCATGAAGTTTATCATCATACACTTAAACAGCATATAGAACTTATGGATATAATTCAAAATGTAGTCAAATATGATTGTCAAATCATCATTGAACAATATGTACCTCGATTAATGCAAAGTGTTAAGAAAGCTGCTGATGGCATTTTATTTAATTTGAGTCTTGAAATACCTTCGATCACAATACCTCTTGTACATCCAATAGCAGCCCAACAAAAACCTCTCGTTATGTTGAGTTATTCTCATGTTAATAATGATTTTTGTGATAAAATACTTGAAGTACTTGATCAAAAAACTGATTTATTCGATGTATGGATTGATAAACGATGTTGCAAGAATAGTGTAGATATTTGGGAATCTATCGCTAAAGGTATTAAAAATTCTGATTTGATCATATGTATTATATCATCAGAATATTTGACAAGTAAAGCATGTCGTCAAGAAATAATCTACGCTAAAGATCGACTTAATAAACGTTTTTTACCTGTATATCTTGGAAAACCCAATATCAGTGATTGGTTAGGTAAGACATGCTATATAAATATATACATTTTTATTATTGATCAAATTTCTTTTGATATAGATATTCGTCTTGCCGAGTTCAAATACGTTCGTTTTCAAAATACACATTTGAAATTAGATGAACGAAAGGTAGAAGAATTGTTATCAACAGTAGTAGAATTCATATCACCAGGACATGCAACACAAAACAATATAACTATTAGACATCATCATACATCATCATTTTCTCACGAACTACCTAGAACAGAAGTAATAAGATCTCAAAGTACCTTAACAACCTCACAACCTGTCGAAATAGTTGAAAATAGAAATAAACCTATATTGAAATGGACTCAAGACGATATTCATTATTGGTTTTCACAACATAATATTTGTTCAGAAATACGTGATATGTATCAATTTAAGACTGGTGCACAAATGATTACTTATGCAGAATGTTTAAAAGATGGATGGCAAAAACAATATGAAAGATATGCACCTCGATATGTTCAACGTTATCCAGATAAAGAATTACTTGAACATGAATTCGCTCTCTTTACCAGTGCACTAAAACAGTTATTAAGTAAGTGATTGTTTATCAAATTGTGAAAAAATTGATAAATATTGAGATTATCTATTAGTCTAAAATTTCAGTATATATATATATATATATGGAATGTAGCCAAGAGATGACTAAAGATAGTAATTGTTTTCTTATCTATTTACAGTTGAATCTGATCGACATAACAATTTTACCAATCAACAATTTTTAACTGGAAACGTAGAAACTGCTACTGATAGATCACAAAAATCATGTCCATGTGTCTTGATTTAAATAATATAATACACTATTTTTCTATATTTGGCTTTTTCTATTTGAGTAGTTTTATTTTTGTAATAAAACTCAATAATTGTTATCATGTATTATTTATCATCTGAAACAAAAAATGAACTTCTTGTACGAATGAATTGCAATATAAAATGTCAAGATATACATTCATCAAAAACAAAATCATTAGAATTCGTGAATAAATTAGTATTAGATAGTTTTGTCGAAATTAATAATGTATTATTCCCTAAATTAATTTTTGTATTCATAGAATATTTATCAATTTTCTTTTGCTGAATTAGTTCATTATTTTCCTAGTTTGTTTCCATTCAATCTTCGACAGTTTATGTGAATCTTCAAAGAAAGTCAGATAGATATACGTTAACAAAGACATTTTAGACTTCTTACTTCTTTCTTCAATGTATTATGACAGTTCAAGAATGCATCTCGAAGCAGTTCATAATTTGATAATTTATTATAAGACATTTTTTATCAGATTTAATACTATCTATTTGGTATTATTGATTTGTTTTAAATCAGTTAGTATTATCTATACACTATCATTGTTTCATCAGCACCATTGCCAGTGTCTCAAAGCTTCCATGGTAGTTCCTGATATGATTTCAGAAACTTTTTTGGTCGATTTCTAATTCATGTGCTTTGATAGATATTCCGTCTGGGTTACATGAATTCCGGCCCACGGAATTCTCGGCCCGGACTTTCGGTCCGGTCCGAAATTCCGGTGAATTTTCAGGTCAGGCCGAAAGTCCTATTGGAATTTCGGCCCATCCATAGAATGACCTCATTGATCCCTAAAAAAATTTAATTGTTTTAATTAATTGCTAGATATCGTAGTGCTGAGCAGGACGACGTGGTGCTGCGTAGGACGGCGTAGCGCTGAGCGGGATAGCGTAGTGCTGAGCTGGACGACTTAGTGCTGAGCAGGATGACATGGGCGTGGGCATAGCTGTGGACGCCGATCAACACAAAAAAGATACGAATATACTGCATACGCCTACACACACACTAGCACCCAACAAGCTTACACCTACACCCACNATCCCGAAAAATCCCGTTTGTCTTGTCCCGTGGGACAAACGAGACTGTTCCGAAAATATTTCGGGACAGAATAAATGGAGCCGGGACAATTCAAAAATTATCGGGACGGGACAAACGGGATTCGGAACAATTCGAAAAAAAAGTTGTTCCGAAATTTTTGAGCTGTATATCAAAATCCGTTGTAAACTTTAAATTTCATTTTTTTCACAAACATTTTAGTATTGAAATAAAAAGTGTCAAAGAGCAGCACAAAAAAATAAGCCACGAGATGCTCTAATATCTATCTATTATCGTTGTCTTTAACAGCTATTTTACCTCTAATGCCATTTAAGCACATCGTCTTATTTAGTTAATGTACTTCACCGATCAATTAGCGTGTGGATGCGAGCGAGAGTGTATTAAAATTATAGTTGTACTTTATATTAATTTTTTTTTCTAAACTTCGCTACAGGCAGATAAATACTTTTTAATATTTGAATTTCGGATATTTCGCTCGCCCAATAGCAAACTTTAAATTTTATCCGTATCTGAACGTTTTTCCTGATCGACATTGTATAGTCAATAATACTTATCAGAAATTCATAAATCATCTCATAATCATAGATATGAATAAATTGTTTCGATTGAGCGTATAGAAGAGACGTATTGCTATTGACCAAAACCGTATCTTTACTTTTTCTGTTTACGGGACAAACGGAATTTTTCAGGATAATTCGAAAAAATTCGGGACAGAACAAACGGGACCGGGACAATTCAAAAAATTTCGGGACGAGACAAACGGGATTCAGGACATAGAAAAATTTGTCCCGCAGGTCTCTAATTTTAATATTGATAATATTGTTGCGAAGTAAAATTTTGGAGTGATGGCAGATAAAAGAAACAATTAAATATACTACATACTAATCGAATCAATTCGTTTTAATTAAAATATTGTCCAAAAGTCAAGAACAAATTACTTAGTAGTAGTCTACACTGTTTTTTCGTACATTTATTTTCTTTGAATACTTGTACGTTCGGTAACCATATCTGAATATGTATTAAGTAACAATCATGAAAGTTAGATAAAATAGTTTTCGCTCAGTATCTTCATTTTCTCCACTTTTGATTTGATAATAGAGTTTTGCGTCCATAGAAAAAATTTCAAATAATTGTGATTACAGGCGCGTTCTGTTCGAAATTATAAATAAAGAATTATTTGTTTTTTGTTTTTGAAAATAATGTTGCAATTTTTTTTAACAATTTTTACTCTTTTTTTCTCACTAACAAATGCTTCACATTTTCTCGGTGGTTCATTTACTTATCGACATTTTCAACAACCTATTAATTACAAATTATATAAATTAGTATTAGTTGAAATACGTTTTCATATATCTGATCATTATTTTATTTGCACACCTGAACAAGTTAATGAACACATGATTGTATATCTAATAGGTGAATCTGTTCCATATGATGAAATCAATAATAGATATCTATGGTATAAAACAGATGCAATAAGAAGAAATAAATATTTCTATAATATTGAGTGTTTGAGTGAATCTTATAATCGTGCATGTAAGCATTTTCAAGAAAAAACTTGGGCCTACTGTGAAAGTGCTAATCAAAATAGTGGTTATTCAATATTGCGACGTCAATTTCTATTAATGCTTGAAAAATATAAACCAATTCAACTTCGTTATGTATGTAAATGAATAATCATAATATTAATATTGTCCACTGTTGAAGTCATAGTCGAACATCATTAAGTACAATGTTGACAATAAATTTTTCAGCAAAAGAAATTGTAAATAACAAGAGAATATTGCAGTTTCAACTAAAGATGTTTGCAGACAAATTTTATAGTTCTAACCTGAAGAAAACACTTTTCAGTATCTTTTTCAAAACAAAAATAACAGATTTCATGACATTATATAGACTTTAGTACTTTAAAATCAGCTGTTAGTTCTCTAATTTTTGTCAAAACAAAAGAGCTTTATATTTTGCTCAGATATTATCTTACAAAATATTTTACTTACAGTTTTCTTGTTGTTGGGCAAATTCATCAGATAAAAACTTTTATTTTGATTTATCTATTGAAACAAGATTAAATCGAATTAATTCATCACCTTATCCATACATACCAGCATCGTATTATGTTGATTTTAATAAACCAAGACAAATACAAATATTTGTCTATGATGCTGACAGTAACATGAAACTTTTTGTTTTGCTATCGAATCAATAAACTTTGTTTTATTTAAAATAGATGATGAGATTATATGCGAACGATTTGAAGAAGATCTTGGTAGATTTTTAACAGTACATGTTGATAATAATTGTACATTAACTTATCAAACAAATCGACTTGGTAAACAGTTTGGTCAATTTTGGTTAATGGATCGATATAGAAATCGAATTCTTTCACGCTCTTTAATTAGTATTCAAGTATTTGTCTTAAAAGATATTATTTGTAATACACAACCTGAAATTATTGTTGAAAGTAAAGCAGATCGTTCTAATATGTCTACAATTAGAATAAAAGAATCAGTTTATATAACTGTTAGTCTCAACCCTAATTGCCTTTTAATTGAACCTCAAGATCAAACAATAACTGAATTAACAACACTATGTACGAATAATCAACCAGTTATTTTAGCTAATGGTGGTATTGAAGTTATATTTCAATGTTCACCAAATTTATGTGAAAAATATCAAGTATGTTTTGTGGGTGAATTCGGTCTTAAGTTACCATCTACTGAAATTCAATGTTTTTCAATTGAAGCTATTGGTACTGGTATGTTATTAAGTGTAATTTACAAAAAAGTTTTAGAATGAGCATACATTCTAATCATAAAAAATCCAAGCATTATCAGCTTTCTTTCAACTCAGACAATGAACATATATGATCCGAAACTTTTTATAGATATCATTTATATTGTTTTTTTTATATATTTATTTACAGAACATTTTCATTTTTTTTCCAAAGAGGATGAATGTTCACTTGCCGTTAGCAACTATCATTTTCTGAAACCTCACAATCGTCATTTTGTCGTAGCAGAACCGATTACTCAAAAACATATTGCAACAATATCAACATCGTCAAAATCGTCGGCATCTACATTACGGAAAACCATGTCAACATTACTACGATCAGAGGCAAAAGTATTGTTACCATCAGGGTCTAAACTTCGAAGCTGGTTGTGGATTTTAGTTGCTGTTATCTTTTTTCTATTGATTGGTTTTATTGGATATTTCGGTGTCAAGCAAATATTGGTGATATTTGATAGATATTCTTCGAACACTGATCAATCTCGGTCATCAAGCAAAAGTGATAGTTGTACTACTACTAAATCTGACATGCTTGCAATATATCCTAGTATGAAACAAATTAACACGTTCAGTACTCAACATAATCAGTATGATAACTTGGTAGATTCATCTCAGACAGTAAAAGTTAGATCACAGTGTATTCGACTAGGAACACTTCTTGAAGATGATTAATAAAAGAAATAATGAAATAATTTCTTTTTCAAGATGTATAGCTTATTTCATAAGTCTTGAACTTTACAAAGTCTAAAGAGGATAGATCTATTTATGGTAGAAGCGACATATTTAGAAATATTGATTTTTAGCTAATTACAATAACATGCAGTTTCATCATAATCATTGAAAGAAGGTGTTTACCTACACCGGATTTTTTTTATATTAGAAATAAATCTTCAGA